GAATTTCAAAAACAGTTCATGGATTTGGAAAACGATACCTGGATTCGATAAAATTACACGAACTTGAAAAAAATACATTGATTTGAGAAAATTACGCAAATTAAAAAAATCATAGATTTGAATAAAGTACACAAATTTCAAAATAGTTCATGGATTTAAAAAAGGTATGTTTATTTTTGAAAAAATTGCACGACCTTGAAAAAAACTATGTGGATTTGAAAAGAGTATGTGAATTTCAAAAAGTTCACGAATATGAAAATATTACGTGAATTTTAGTCAGCACCGGTCAAAACCAGGGTCAGTCAGCACCAAAACCGGTCAAAATCGAGACCAGGGACAAACCTTGTCCAGTTTCGTTAGTTGGGGGTGCAAGTTGTCTGGTTTCGAAGTTGAGGGACCAAATCTAGACTTCACCAAAAGTTGAAAGATGAAAAGTATATTTTTCTCTATATAAAAATAATCAAACAATGGATCCATAGAGGGCCACGGACGTGCACGCTTCCGTATGAACACTTCCGGCAGACGCGCAAGCTATAATCAGCCGGCTGATTAATAAAGTTTCCCTTGTTGCATGTACGTGTTTAGGCAACCAACCCAAAATTTGTAGAGCAGACTACGACTCCGGCGTGCAGTGCATCTTCGCCATCGTGTCCGAGCTAGAGCCGCATCGTGATATACTAGCGGGGTGACCAGCCTATCCGAACCGGGACGGGCTGTTGCAGACGAACGAAGTATAAGGAAACGAATTGTTTTTTCCGTCCTTATTATTATGGATGTCATTGATAGGTAATTTTTTCTCACTTACGGAAATAATTAGGATAACGATGAGCAGGCAGAAGCAATAGCCACTTTATTATTAAGGAAAGAAAGATATGACTACTGCACCCGGGTCTTGGGCCGGAGAAAACAATTTTTTAACACACCGGAGCACTCTGCGGGAGTTCTTTTCTCGAGCTGCGGTCGGCAGCCTGGCACTAGCTAGTGTATGTATAAGTTTTTTCCTCATGAGACGGAGAGAACCGGAGGAGAGCTCGGTGGACCAAGCTAGATGTGCAGAACTCCATCGGTAGAAAATTTAGCTTGATGGAGAACAGTAGCTGACAAGAACACGTACTATGTATACGCAGAGGCCGGCCGTGTTGCTAGCAAGATGGTTTGACTCCATCTCCTGCACGTACATTTAATTTACCTATCCTGATTTTCTTTCGGCCAAGCTTGTGAGGATCACGGTCAACCTCGTGAGAACCAACTATGGTGGGTTTTATGAAAAAATTTGTGATGGACTAAACTAAAAATATCACCTCACTTTATTAGTAGGTCTAGCTATGTACATACCCCAGACAAAATAAGCAACCAATGTCTAGTCTAGAGCCACATCTAATAGTCAGGCACTTGTCGGCAGGCCACATTGGATCTAGAGAGCCACAACCGGAGGAGACGGCGGCGGAGATGGTACTTTTTTCTGAACATTGCATTGTGTGAAAGCTCACACACATAAATAGTATCACACGTGTCACATGGCATATGTGGTACTATAAAAAAAGGTATAATCAGTATCACACATGACGTAAGAGACGTGACATAAGATGCGTGACGTAGGATGTGTGACGGCTGTATGCAATGACCCATTGTGTAGACCAGATTCTGGTGATGTTCTCATAGAAAAATCATGATGGAATAAGAACGTGATGGATGGACGAAACGAGCTCTTATTGGCTATATTATGTTCGCAGAATATTTTCTTGTCTGTCGTGTAATCAATGCAAAGAATTGTGAGATACGCATGAATGAGGGCGCGTTACACGTGAATGTGATGTTGCTATCAAAGTATGCAGTTGGGAAATGTAAATAAATAGAATAGCTAAGCTAGCACTATTGTGTGAACTGACGCATGTAAGACTCAACACTGCCATTCCAACTATATCAGCTCAGTGCTTTCAGCTTTTAGAAAACAGTGCCATTTCTATACATAGGAATCCATTGTTGATCTTAAAGTGTGTTGATTGAGTCGTGCGTTTTGTCTTGTATATCTCTTCCAGAATCCTAATGAGCTAGCCGAGTTTCAAGCCAGCCAGTTAGCAAATTACCACTACCTCCGTTCCTAAATATAAGTCTTTTATGAGATTTCATTATAAACTACATACGGAGCAAAATGAGTAAACCTACACTCTAAAATACGTCTATATTCATTCATATGTAGTTTATATTTAGATCTCTAAAAAGACTTATATTTAGAAATGGAGCGAGTATATTAAATTTAAGTTTTTAAAGATATTTTAGTTGACCCTATCCCGTTGAGTTTGTTGGGATCATATAATTTTTAAAATTCGAGCAATGCTTATGCTCATACCATCCAAAGGAACGCACCAATAACCATCATGAATTTTTATATATTTTACCTACAATGTGGCCATCATTTTCTTGTTTCGGAGATCTCCACCACCTGGTGTGTCCAATTTTCTCCCAGGAGATCCGGTAGTTAAGCCGTCAGATTCATCGGCTTGTCAAGATGTGAGCAAAGAATCAAAGCTCTCATCATGGCGTGGAGTTGAAGTAGCTATCATGAAGATATGAGATAATTCAAAGCACTATATTGATTAAAAGCTATCCAACTAACCAGTACTTGACATTTATTCTTAACCAGTGCTTGCAGTGCATTTGTATATGTAACATTATGTACTATGGATGTGTGCATCAGATGATGCATGGGCCCCTTCTGAAAGAAAAAATATTGTACATATAGCTGGACAAAATGACAGAAGCGATTAAGACCGCATCAGGGCAAGTTGTTAAATTACACTCTACCACTATCATATGAGCTAGTATATTCACATGCATACCGGTATAAGGTTATTGTAATTGCAATACTCCTCCTTCTGCTCATGGTCCATGGGCGCCCCCATCATTTCTCAATCTCAGCGATGTCACACTGATCCTTAAGAAAAAAGGTTTCCCCCCGCTTTATAGATAAAGCACCATCACCACAACAACGAGAAGAAGATACAAACGCACGCCAGCACCACACTCAACGCACACACCCAAGGCGAGATACAAAGGTGCCGAGCACCGAAAACACCACCCCAACGAAGACTAAGCACCCTAATGATAAGCCGAAGACCACCATGAAGATGAGCAATCACCGAGGGGCAATGAGACGGACAAGGCCGGCGCGAGGACTCCAAGACGATGCCCTCAAGAAGGAAACGACTGTCGGAAGCCGTCACCATCTGATCCCGAAGATCAGGTTTTCACCCGGAACGACACGAAGACCATGGGAGCACCACGACGGAGCCTGCAAGAAGGAGAACGACATCCACGGACGCCGCCTCCGTAGGCCAGTACCGGGACTGGGCGAGTGATGAACCCCGGTGCTCCTACCCCTCCGTAGCAACCTCACTCCGCCAACCACCCGCATCCATGCCGCCCAAGCGACCATGGCTGCCCGCCCGCACCCGAGCCGTGCGGTCCGCCCACGACCAACACGCCTCCCACCGCCAGAGCCGCCGCCCTGCATCCAGACCACTCCGAGAACACCAAAGGTCGAGGCTTTGAGCAATCTGCACCACAACCACTTCCGAGACCGCCAGCAAACCCACCGAACAATGCCGGAACCGATAACAAACAAAGATGG